ACCTACGGTATTTATAACAAAAGAACAATTTTAAAAATTTTAGTATATGTCTGTCTGTTTGTTCCGGCTAATCTTCGAAACGGCTGCACCGATTTCGACGGGACTTTCACTGGCACACTGTTAATTTTTGATTTTTTTTTAAATAGGGAAGTATAATAATAAATTACTAATAATTACTCGTTCGAAGTCGTGGGCACATTTAGTTATATATTTGGGAATCATGACGTTGATATTGACGTTTGAAACACCAAAACTCAATTTCTTACGTCGAAAAGTTTTCATTTTCTCCCACCAACTCACCTTAGAACGTCGTTTGGTTTCTCCGACCAGTACACGGGCATTCTGAGCCTGCCGGCTACGTTTACGTCGAACCTTCCACCGTCAGTTGGAACGAGCGTGGTTTCGTTTAGATCAGCTGAAAATTAAATAAACGGTCTAATTCTTTGACCAACCAAAAAAATATGCAATTAACAATTTCTTTTCTCTTATTTTTTAAAAAAACTTCCAAACCCCCATACAAGAATTTTCTCCTGTGTCGTGGAGGCAATTTACAAAAATAAATTGCACAAGGACATACATCTAGGTCCGGAAATATTATTTGTAGGCCTTACAAATACTTGATCCGCGCGGGAGTCGAACTCACGGCCATTAGCGCCATAACTCAAGCTAAGGCACTACGCCATGGAGCCGTCAATTCAATTTCATCGGTGCCGACTGCAATCGAACCCTAATTGCTCGCGCTTGAAGCTTACAGCGAGCGCTTAACCCCTAAGCTACAACTATGTATTGTATCAAAGATATTATTATTGTCACGCTTGGCGGGTGGATTGGGGACCTTAGACACTGCTGATCAACAAGGCTCTGGGTATTTACCTGTGTCACACTGCAGCACGAATGGGTCGGCTTAACAGCGAAACGACCACGCCCTCATAGAAGACATATGCGGCCACTATTACCATATGACTGTATAATCATTTTATTATTTATTTCAAACACTAGCAATGCTCTCACCATTATACGTGGCAGAACCACGCTGCAGCTATATTGTGTAACACGAATAGGTCGGCTCGACCGGGGTAGGACCACGCTCTCACAGAATACCAGCGTAAAACAGCAGCTTAATGTTACTGTGTTTCGTATGGTGAGTGTAGAGAACCGGAGACCCTTTTTACTGGAAACGAGGCATTCCATCTTAGTCCTCAGGAGTGACAACGCATTTTGATTCTTAATCGAGGATAAATATAATGTCTATCGGCCACAGTATCCACATACCATCAGGTGGACTTGTTCGTCGCCCTTATTCTATTAAAAAAAAACCCCTCATTTACTGATATAAAGATCTTGGGAAAGCTGCCTGCATAGACTTGCGATTAAATCATCTTTTTTTATTAGCCTTGTTAAGTCCTGTCTTTAAGGCTTTATTAGCCTGTAAAAGTTCACTGTGGAACATGGCCCATTTGATGTCTGAATTGAAGATCGCAATATCATACTAAGGCACGATTGAGACTCTGGTGTATTGGTTATACCGCTATTTATCCGAAGCCATAAGATTTCCATGCTGTTTGAAGAACATATTAATTAGTAACCATAAGAAAATGTAGATGGCGCTGAGTGGTTTAAAAACAAACTATTATTTGTCTCACCAGTAAAGTATTAATAATAAATAAGTAAAGTTTTAAATAGTCTTGAATTGAATTATTAAAGTTAGAAATCAGATCAACTACAATGTTTATGTGTTTGTATCGCTTATAGTACCCAAAGTAGTTTATCAAGATCAATAAGATCAGGCAATTTCCATAGTCGCCTATTACGACACCCACGGGACGAAATGTGGTGATGGATTGACATTAATAAAAAGAAAATAAAAATAAACTCACGACTGACGAAAGCATTCTCCAAAGCCGTCGAGTCGACTGTTGAAAAACCTTTCCAAACAGACTTTTCCTCGTAGTCCACGCAATAGAACCAGTGGTGCTTCACTGGGCTGTAGTCCCCGACGGAACGGTTCTGAAACAGTTCTTATTATAGTTCCGCCAATTACTGTCAAAATTCACGATACACGCTCCATCTGGATGCTTGATGGTCCACCACTGTGCGATCTGTTAGGAGTTTTTTCCTCGCACGACATTTTTGTGACCGACACAACTTAGGGACCTTCAAAAAACGAGTACCAGAGATCTTCAAAAAAGAGACGGTACTCAATTCGACTGTATGTTTTTTTTATGTGTGTTACCTCATAACTTTTTACTGGGTGCTCATAACTTTAGCTGGTGCTTTACATGTGGTCCCACATAAATTTGATCAAGTTCTGACCAATAGTTTTTGAGTTATTCTTAATAATTTATATTGACTTCGGTTGTACAAAATTTTTAATTTTTCCTTCTAATGGCCATCGTAAAACTCAAAGAAAAAGTAATAATGAAAAAAACCTTGTAGAATCCTTTAGTGAATAATACAGGACGTCTCTTGATTGGCGTATACATTACAGACTATCAAAGTCCACTGCTGAACGTAGGTCAATAGTTACCATGCTTAACAGGTGGCTTGGTAACCACAATTTTTTGTTATTTTAAGTTGTTAATATAGAGATGCTGCTACTATTTCTTGTTTTATTTCTTTCTGTCATTTCTTACAACACCTACGGAACCCTTTTTATGGGATAGTGGGTATTATTACAACAACATAGCTAGTATCTCAGCATTCCTATAATGTTAGCCAATAATTATTATATACTATAATATAATTATATATAATTAAAGCTAGATTATAAGAAGGTACTATATACTATATAATTAAAGCTAGATTATAAGAAGGAACTACTTATAATACATAACATGAGCGCTGATCTCACGGACAAACTTTTAGAAAATTTGGTGGGCTTAACACATTTTGTACCTTGTTTGTTTCAGATTCTACTACACGATATTGGCATATGTGTAATAAATACTAACAGTGGGTCAACTCCTTTTGTTATACCGCAAAATATCTACAAGGCTGTCTCGACGTCAAGTCGCTAAAAATATGCAAGGGTTGTCACAAAAACATTTCCTTATATAATAATATCATAACATTACATTTTATCAGTATTCCTCCAGATACAAAGTAATAACTACTTTACAAAACAAGTTGCGTTCCGCAGCTTTACCTGATTCGCCGTGTTGGAAACAAAGGCTTGTGTTGGTAGGTATCTACCTAATTTTTTATATTTTACCTATATAGCAGTATCTCGGGGTATTCAGCTTAAATTATTTGATAGGGGATTGAATAGAATAAATAAAACAGGTTAAAATTATACGTTGGTTCTGTTTATTCAAACGCCTCGTTACAGATGTGTAACCGACAAATATTTACGACATTTATTATTGGGTTTTTTAAATTGTCTTTTGTTGAATTTAATGATTTCGTGAAAATCGTCATGAAAGCAATCACATGGTTATTAGAATTAAATTTTACTTAAAGCATCATACAATATTTCCCAATATTTCAAAATAATATCGAGTAATATCACGTTTGTGGGTGAACATCGAAAGCGTGCAACTGATTCAGTGTACGTGACACTCCTAAGAGGGCGTACCGGTACGCAAGCGAAGCCAACCGGTACTACCGCAGACGTCAAGAGCACATGGGACTCCGCTCTCCTTCATACCGCGCTCCACTGTTGCTTCGTCTAGTCGCCGAGTTGACTCACTATTAGTATTTATTACACATATGGTATTGGTGTTAATTAAAAAAATCCAAATATTTTTTATTTATTATTTATTGTTCACACTTTAAGATTTTAACAATTTTACACATTTAAAATTCTAATCCACCTGATGGTAAGTGTATGATTTGGACCATAGATGCCTACTTGTATCCTCGATTAAGAATTAAAATGCAGATGCGTTGTTAACCCTGAGCATTTAGATGGAATGTTTCATTACCAGTAAAAAGGGTAACCAGTTCTCTACACTAAACATCGAATACGTATTGAGGAAACATTCAGCTGTAATATAAATGAAGCGTGGCTCTATCATGTATAAATAACAATTGTTAATAAGAAGTGTGGTCTCGATGGTACAGAATAATGTCCTCTAGACCAGGGGTTAGAATTTCGATCACGACGGTCAGTCTCAACGGATACTAGCCATCTGTACAGGACAGGATTATAGTGCACGAGTGCGAGCACAAGCACAGACGCACTCTCTATTCCCTCACTTTCATAGTTCGATCAGACGACAATCCGACACCGCCGATTCCTGATTTCGGGCGGCTACTGAGAATTACTTGACAGAAAAACAAAATAACTGATTCATTCTGGCCCAAATACACAGCTGTGGATGTCTATGGGCCACAACAAGCACTTACCATCAGGTGGACTGTGTGCTAGTTTGTCACCCTTATCCCATAAAAAAATATGATCGAATAGTTTTTTTTTAATAGAATAAAAATGACAAATGAGCACACAGTCCACCTGGTGGTAAGTGGATATTTTGGCGCATAGAAATCTACAGTTGTCACCCCTGAAGACTAAGAGGAAATGCCGCGTTTAAAGTAAAAAAGGATTTCGGTTTTCAACACTCACCATACGAAAGATATCAGCATTAAGCTGCTATTTTAAACTGGTATTCGGTGAGAGCGTGGTCCTTCCCCGGTCGAGCCACAACTGCACAATTAATATAGCTGCTGCATGTTTCTACCACGTACAGAGAATCATATAGTATCATATCATGCTGCTATTTTACACTATAGCCAATGAAGTTTTAATTTACTTTAGAAAGCTAGGGGCAGACACACATACATATATGACAGATATACAACCCATTTGGTATTCGCCGTGGTCCGGTAAACAGGGTAAAATCTTTAATGTTAATGTAATAAATAAGAACCGAAATTTGTTAAAAACATTGAAACACTACCTCAGTCACGGTAGCAACGCTGTCTTCTTTATCCTCGTTTATTGAATAATTGTCAAAATTGACAGTAGCCGATCTTCCTCGAGCATCTTCTTTTTTATTTTCCATTACGTCAATATCTTTATTTGTTTCAGAATTATTTTTGTCCATCAATTTTCTAAATTTACAGTTACTTGAACCTATACCATCTAAATTATCACTTTTTTTTTCTATGATTAAACTACTTTCTTTGTTACAGCAATGTGAACAGACTTCGATAATAGCTATTTGGTCAGCGTTGGTACTCGTTTCTATTAGTTTGTTTAATTCATTGTTGTTATTTGTTATATTATCACATTTAGGCTCCGACGCTACGGGTTTAGACTCACTGTTAAAAGCAATTTTTAAAGGATTATTATCGTATTCAACGGTAAAAAAGTTAACCGACCTAATTGTTTTTTCTTTTGGAATGAAATTAATATTAGTGGTAGAAGTTAAATCTTTTATCAAATTCATATTGGCAATGTACGCTTCATTTGGAATGTTATGTTTATCGTTAACGTTATTTCGTTGAAATTCTGTCGAAGTGGCGTTAAGGCCGTCTGAATTAGCATCTTGCCTGTAATGGTTTTGCGATTGACTTAACTCAAAAAAAGACTTCGAAGGATCGGCTTGAGTTGATGTTGAAAAGTAGCTCGATAACCTACTAAAATCGTAAACGTCCGAACTTTCAGTAGCAACAGGGGCTGAAGTTGATGAAAAGAAATTTGCTGAATCAGGCAACAACGACACAGCGTTTGGAAATTGGGATTGGTCAGCTGTTTCCACTGTATTTTCTGGTTCTACGTTAGAAAATACGGGAAGAGTCTTTTGAGAATCTCCGTCGTTATTCTTTACACCAAAAACGCTCGCAAAATCTGGTAATTTCAGATCACTTTTTGCTGTGGTTGGAAATAAGATTTCTTCAGATAGATTAATCGCTTTGTTAGATACATGTACTTCACCGTGAATTGTTGCAGATTCTTTTTCAGTCGGTTCGGATTGAATATTAGTATCCAGAGACAATTCACTTTTACTTAACGTCGTGAATAAATTACTTTTGGATATGGTATCAGGAACGTATTTCTCTTTTTCTTCCCTATTGGATGCTAATAAGCCTTCGTTGGACACCAAGCTTAATTTCCTTTGGAATTCGTCTTCGAACCCCGGAGGTACACGCATAAGAGAACTTTGAGCAGTTGAATGACAAGTGTTAAGGCTCGATGGGGATGTCAATGAATTCCGGTAGTGGTTTTCTACTGCATAATTACCCGTATCAAAATATGAAGCTATGGTTATAGACGGACTGGTCGAAGTTGGCGGATCATATGATTTAGAACTTTTGTGCGTATCAAATACGTTATCATTATGATCCGTGCTTGTTTCTTCCATCTTTTTATATCTTTCCACTCTATTCGTAAAGGTGTCTACATCTTGACTAGGTTCATCTGAGCTTCTCTCACGTTCTCTAAACTCTATTTTATCGTCATCTGTTTCAGAGGGTTCGATCACATACTCTTCAAATATGGGAAAATCCTTTTTTGCATCTTGTTCTATAGAGTGCACATCTAAACCACTTTCATCTGATTTTGTATCGTCTTCTGCCGGGGGTGCTGAAGGAATACTTATTTGTCTTGGAAGAACTGTTAATGTGTCTTCAAATGAATTCTTATATTCCGCTTTAATTTCATCGCTTGCATTACATGGCATGTTTTCAAAGAACAAAGATTTATTTTGAGAAAATCCTATAATATTTTCATCAGACTGTAAAGTATAGTTATGTTCTAAAAGAGCGTCAGAAGATGCCAAAGTAGTATCATTTGTGCACCACCCATAATTTTTCATTATCGTTGTATTATTGTCAATGTCATCCAAAATTTCTGAAGCAGCATGCACTTGTATTGATTCAATAGTTTCTTCTGTGATATGTGAAATTTCAGCGCACTGACCAGGTTCAAAATCTGTTCTATTTACATCTAGTATATTGTTTTCTGAGAGAGGGACTTCAACTGGATTGGAAAGCTGTATAGGTGCAGTTATATTTTCAATTAACTGATCGGTTAAATTTTCTAATTCTTTTTCTTCAGGCTTATTGACTTCTCTGCATGTCTCACAAATATTTAAGTCATTTTCACTTTCTTTTTCATTATCTATTGCTAAGTTCTTCTCGATCGAGAAGGTACTATCGAAGAAATCAGCAGCGTTTTGATTAAATTTGTAGGGTTCTTGATTTTTTGAAGTTTCCAATGACGCCACATCCTTTAAATTACTTACTGTTATGTCAGTGACACTATTAGGTTCACCGGTAGTAGGTTGACTGAACAATGAATCACAGAATAAATCTGGTGATGGTTCAAAATATTTACAATATTCTCCTTTAGGAACTTGTGAGGCGAAATTTTTAAGTTTTTCATCTCTTGTTGTAATGCTTTCAGTATGTGTAAAAAAGTTTGCATTTATTAAACTGTCCGTGATAATAGGATTACGTTGTTCTGCAACTTCAGACGATGTCGATGTTTCGAATAATGAAGAAACATTTGCTCTTTCCTCAACTTTTGTTGGATGTGTTTGTAAAAACTGATTTTGATAAGTTTCAGTATCTACATAGGTTTTTGATTCAAAAGTAAGAGAATCAACTTCCGAAGTTTGCATCGTGTTGTGTAAATAGTTCGTGGTCAAGGCTGGACTCGTAATTGATTTATTAATGTTGGTCTCTGGGAGACTTGACATTACAATTTGGGACTTTTGTTCTTTTCCTTCAGAACTAGACTCAATACTGTTTTCAACATCTTTCATAGTATCTTGTGTATTACTTAATCCGATAGTAAATTCTGTGTTCCACGAAGATGCAGAAAGATTTTCTTGTGCAGGATCGTTATTCACATTTTCATTAGAGTAAGTACAAGGTACATAAGGGTTATTAGTTTGGTTATCAAAGTAACTGTACTGAACCGAACTATAAGGAATGTTGGTTGACGCTGTATTAATATTAGTGTTATCTATCATTTGATAATTATGTCCCGTATATGTTTGTACATTGGGGACGTATATTTCTAAATTATTGTCTGGTGTCACAGCGTTTTGATCCAGGTGTGTTGATTTGCTTGTAGTTACGGTATCGTACGGAATATTTTCGTAATTACTTGTGGCTTCCATTTTAGTATAATTATAAGCAGGATCGAAAAAGGTAGTAACTGTATTTTGAATCTTATTGATATCTATTGAACTTAGTTTAGATTTCAATGACCCAATTATGCCAAAGCTTTTAGATCCTTGCTGAGGTTGATCAAAATATTCTGAAGTTTGTCTGCTCAAATCAAATACAGTATTAGACTCAGATTGTAAATAAGTAGGATCTTGTGACTGGTTAACGTCATACTTCGGAGAAGATGACATATTATTGGTTGGATTAGTTAAATCAAACGGGGACGTAGAATGGCCAGTACCAAATAACGTAGAACTTAACTCCGACGATGTTGACTCAACAGGTAACTGAGGAGTATAAAGAGCTCCTTGAAACACGTTGGTTTGAACGGCATCAATCGTAGGTTTCACGTTCAAATTATTTGTTATACTGCCAAAGCCTTCAATAGGGCCAGAATAATACTGAGGTTTTTTCTTCGTCATTCTGAAGTTATTACTACTTAATGTTTTTGGAGGTTCAGGTAAGTTTTTGGTGGGTGCCGGTGTAACGGTATCAGGTACAAAGTGGGTAGATTCTAAAGAGATGGCTTCATTCTTGTTAGTTTCATATTTGTGTGCTTCAGTTTGAGGATCTAATGTTGGTACAGTGTTTGGATTAAAGAATACTGGTGGTGGTAATATTGTTTTATGCGGCGTTAATTGTCTTTGAGAAATGTTTGTTGATAATACTTTAAAAGTTGTGTCTTCCATAAATGATATATTTGATGTCAATTCTTGATCAGCATTAGACACATGTGGTACTAAATTCGACTGTGATAAAGGTGTAACCAATAAATCAGATGTTTCAGTTTTGACATAATCTTCACTATCCTGTGTAGGTAAGGTTTGTGTCATTTGCCTAACCGAAGGTGTCGAAAAGTCTGATGGTTTAAATAAGAGCGGCTCAATGGTAGAGGAGGTACTTCTGCTTTGTGAAAAAACTGCTGGCGTGTTATCAAAAATTAACTTCTTTACGGGTTCCTCAGAACCAGTTAATTCATTTGACATCAATGTCGTAACAAAATTTGCAGAACTAGGTACGTTTTGTTCTAATTGTGACTGAGTAGAAATATCTGAAGATGGTATAAATATATTATGTTGTGGAGTTACGATGGATGTTGGCGTTTGAGGTTTTAATACAGGATTACTTGCTGCTATACGCCTTGCTATAGATGGTGGTAGAACTGATCTCACGTTGTTCTGTCCTTCTTTTTTCGGTAAATTGGAAAACATTGGCGGTGGGGGTATTACAGAAACATTAGAAGGAGTTTCTAATAATGTTTGCTGAGTTGGGGGAATAAATACATAATTAGAAGGTTGCAGTGCAACGTTAGAAGGTTCCGTTTGGTCCTTTTTTTCAACTGTTATGGCAGAATTTTTTTGAATATTTGTTGACGAAAATGGTGGTGATTGATTTTCTTGTGCTAAGTTTTGACGTGCAGAATTTGCTAAATTAATATCAGGAGCAGTGACAATGTCATATCCATCTGTTTGTTCAACGGCTTTATCTAAACTTGATGTTGGTCCTTCTAAAATATTTGAATAATGTGTCGCTAGTATTGCTGACGCAGGAAAATCTATTTCACTTCTTTTTTCTGTAGCACTTGACGTATTGTCAGGAGTAAAATAAGGAAGTGTATTTGTTGGATTCATAGGCAAATTATTTATCGGCACATTTTGCATAGTATCTGCAGATCTCAGGCCAGGTATCTGCGCATACATTTTCTTCCTCGTCGTTATGCGATAGTTGGAAGCAGTACCTGTAACAAGAAACGGCATATTAAACGGCGTAATGATAATGTTAGCTTTTCGCTTTCTACTGATTACTTGCTAAGTGATCCCTGACACACAACTAGTTTGTAGGCTGATTTTATATTCAGCCATGGTGTTGCCGTTTCATTTCATATAGACGTAACGTAATATTAAATTCGAAATAATAATCTTCAGTTATATTCTTGTTAAAGAAGTTCATGCTTGGTTTTTATAAGTCCTATTATTAAATACAAATTTATTTTAGCTGTCCCATAGATGTCGTAAGAAGCGACTATGAGTAGTATGAGGGTTGTAGTATTACATATCGTTTATATGGCATATGCCAGATATCGAAATAAATACCCGGACCGACAACGAAGATCAGCGATTATAACAAATCTTCTCAACAGTGGAATGCATATGCTCCATGCTCATCAGTGCATTTGTATAAGCCAAAGAAGAAGGTTTGTGTCGAAGAAGAACAAGATATTAACTCGTACTAATTGTCTTGGCGCGATGGAACTTCCATCCAGTCTTATTCGATCAAGGATAGTTAGAGCGCGGTATCAGACACAATCTTTTGTAAAAATGATTATTCTTCGACCTGTCTGATCTAGAATCAAACAAACTCTGAGGATATCAATTTTTTTTTATCGGAACGAATTTCAAAAGCGCAAACTTACTTTGCTTTAAACATTGAGTTCATAGCAGTATTCTAAGGCGAAAGTAAGCTTAGACCAGTTACATAAATCACTTATTCCGACTTACAAAATCCATTAGATGCTAAGCTGTCAGTAAAGCACTACAGCCAGGGCGTCTAATAACAGGGGCGACTAGTTAACCCGACAAACCTGTTGCAAAAAGTGTCGGTTGTTAGGACAGATACGAAACTGTTTTTGAAATCTTATAACGCATTGATTTGTATTGTTAAGTAACTTATTAAAATGCATCCGCACATCAGCTTCCAGTAGTCAGTAATATTATAAATGTGAAAGTTTGTGAGGATGTATGGATGTTTACTCTTTTAGGCAAAAACTACTAAATGGATTTTAATGAAACTTTTCAATAATATAGCTCATACATCAGAATAACACATAAACTATAATACATAGATTGAATTAAATTGGCCAAAATATAACGATAAATATTAAGTAAAGTCTGAAAAAAAATCTGTCATCTGCGAGCTATTTTGGCGTGAACACGCGTCACGCAAAAACCTGTGAAACTATTTGAATAGAACTTTCACTGGCAGATAGCTGATGTTATAAGGAGTAACTTAGGCTACTTTTATCTTAGGCTAATATAAAATTTTAGGATAAACCCACGCGGGTGAAGTCGCTGGGAACAGCTAGTTAAAAATAATTCTGCAAATCCATAACGGAAATGACGAGACTGACAGCATTAAGGTGACCGACATAACTTGTAATCACGTAAATTAGGCGTTAAGAATTTTTTTCTTCATGGTTCTTCTTCGATCCAAATTAATACGATGGATTGTGATAGAAATGACGACAATCTAGAAGAATTGCCTTAATACAAAATGGCATCATTGTGGTACAAGTGAAAAAGTATTTTAAATAGAGCAGAAGATCTCTTTAACCATCATTACTATCACCGCCACAAAGATTTATTTTTATAAAAGTAAGCGACAAACGAGCACACAGTACACCTTATAGGATAGTAAGTGAATACTGCGACAGATGAAAATCTACATCTTTTCTCGATTATGAATCAATACGCATGTGTGTTGTCAACGGACTAAGATGGAATACTAACCAGTAATAATTAAAAATTAAAAATTTGTACAACCGACTTCAATATAAATTATTAAGATTAATTCAAAAAGTATTGGTCAGAGCTTGATCAAATTTATATAGGGCCACATGAGAAGCACCAGCTTTCAAATAAAAAAAAAGGTAACACATAAAAAAATCATACACTCGAATTGAGTACCTCGTCCTATTTGAAGTCGGTAGAAAATGGTCACTGGTTCTCTACACCCACCATATCAATCACAGCAGCCTTATGCTGTAATTTTACGCTGGTACTCTGTGAGAGTGGTACTTCTCAGCTCGATCCGAACAATTTGTACTGGAGCGTGGCTCTATCAAAACAACAACAACAACAACGTAAATAAAACGCCGTGTATTTCGCCACATAATGCGGCATTTTCAATTATGTAGGCTCTACAATTTCTAATCACTAAGCAGCTGATATGAACTGTTTACGCAACACGAGGTAACGCCCTGATAAAGAATTTAGCACAAAGTAAATATACAAACAAAGAAGTTACGTAGTTAATTCTAGTCGTTTTGTCTGTATTTTCATAAGGCATTCGTGACACAAAGCATTGAATAAATTTAAATATTCATTATTGCAATTGTCTCATTTAATATTTGAGTACATCCTGATATTTTGTAGTCAGACTACAATGTGAGAGCTTTTACTGTAACTTAATCTATAAAAATAAATAAAATTGAAGTGTCTGTTTGTAATGTCAAAATACCAGCTTTTTACTAAATGCATATGAAATTATATACGGTAATTATAACAAAAATACAATTTTTAAAGTTTTTGTCTGTCTGTCTGTCCGTCTGTCTGTCTGTTTGTTCCGGCTAATCTCCGAAACGGCTGTACCGATTTTGACAGGATTTTCACTGGCAGATAGCCGATGTCACAAGGAGTAACTTAGGCTACTTTTATTTTAGAAAAAGAATAAGGGTACCGCGCAAAAAAATTAAACCCCAAACTACAAGTGGCGAAGTCGCGGAGAACAGCTAGTATATATATATAAAATTCCATAACTTCCCACTGTTGGTCATAAGCCCCGAATTATGCTTGTTAGCAGGGTTTAGAGTCGTGGCAGACCAGGGGCTTAGGGTTCGATCCTAGGCGGCACCCTTCGAATTGCTCTCTGATCTGATATACCACGTTCTCGGCGGTGAAAGAAAGCATCTGCATACCTGATAAAGCGCGGCTGACATTTCCTTGGTTACATATAAACTAGTTAGCCAAGCAGACGTTGTTCTAACCATTCCGACGATCCTTCCTAAAAAAAACATTGCGGGTCCCTTATCGGGATGAAAACTATCCTATCTCTCAAGTTGGACCAAACTGCACACAGTGTGATAATTTCATTGAAATCAGTTCAGTCGTTCAGGAGTTCATCGCGGACAAACAATGTGACTCTTAATTTTTATATATATAAAAATATATACAAGTAATATAGTATTGTGATTGTGTTTTGCTATTTGATGACGGCGTAAGATAATCTATCGCCGCATTCAGTCCCGTGGGCGTACTTATATGTATATATCCACATAAAAACAGTTTATTTCTTAAATTTATAGCCTAGGTTAATATGTTTGAAGTAACAAAAGCCTCGAATTCAGAAGCTGTAAGGTACGTGAGGGTAATATGGTCACCTTGAGATTTGCCGCCCTATAAAACCAAAACTAGGAGGAGGACACACACAAAAACACAAAGTCGTATATTATAACTAATATATTAAGAAAAAAAAATGACAAACAAGCTTTAACAATAATTAGGAACACTTCGAAAAATTAACTACAGTACTCAATACTACAATTGACTAAAATATTTATTATTTGATTGACTGATGAAGAGCATATCACAGAGCCATCTGTGCAAACAAGAATGTAATTTTTGAGTTATAAGAAAGTGACTATATTAATCGGATGACCATATTATGGAAATATTCTTTTCTTGTTACTTTTGAAGTCGGGTTTATTATTATTATTATTATTTTATTCATTATTCAAGTAATTACACCCACTTTGTTAGTACACTTAAAACTAGGAGTTAGTAAATTTACAGAATACAAATTATTATACATTACCAAAATTATCATTTATTGTTAAACATATTGGGCCTGGAACCCATATGCACTGTATTCCAGTGCCTCATCACAGGGCAATCTTGCCTTCCATATATGGAAGCTAGGAGGCTGTTAGTGCTGTCTCGCACGCGACACATCAGTGAGGCTATTATTTTGCGCAATATTGTTGCAAAGCTGTCCACGCGTGCCTCGGCAAACATGCGTGATGCGCTGCAAAATTGTGGCAGCCCCAACAACATCCTGAGTCCAATGTTGTATTGAATATGCAGCGCATTAAGAGTTCGACGGGTACACTTTGCACACAGACTGCAGGTGTAGAATGTCCGACAGTAAGCTTTGGATAATCTTATCTTAACTTCATTCGTACACCTAACAAACCTGCGGGCAAGCATATTACACCTCACTGCCAACGCTCTACGTTCTCGTTCAAAATCATAATCGTCAGAGAGATCCTTGGCGACCCAGTGTCCCAGATATCTGAATTTGGTGACTCTACTCAGTGTAACTCCTCCAAGTCTAACATGAGGGACAGACCTAGGTTTTTTATTTCCACCCTTAAAAACGAGTAGTTCGCTCTTTTTAGAATTATATATGAGCCGCCGCGTACCTTTCACAGATGCCCACAAGCGTATTTAGGGCCTTGAATGATGGGCTCAGCAAAACCACGTCGCCGGCATAGCTTATATTATTAACAAAATGACCGTCGATTGAGCAGCCGACTCCGGCATCACTGAGCTCAACGATCAGACCGTCGACGTACAGGAAGAGTTGAGGGGAGCTAAGGCCGCCCTGCCTCACTCCGCACTCCAACCTGTACTCCGAGGAATATGAGCCAACCCACTTCACACAGTTGGTTTATCACTTCCTTGGGTGTGCTAGTTTCCTGGTTAAGCTTATCCCATAAAACGTTGTACGTAACCAGATCAAACGCTTTCGACAAGTCCAAAAAACACGCATAAACCGGCGTTTTTCGCGTAGTGTAATACTGGACAGTATGCTTGAGTCGCAGTATAGCAGTTTCAGTTGAAAGCCCCGTCCTGAAACCAAACTAAGCCTCATGTAGGTGAATGTGTTGGCTGAGTTGCTGGTTAAGCAAACCGTCCAGTACCTTTGCAATTACAGTAGCCAAAGATATTGGGCGATAATTGG